AATGTTGTATAAACATGCTTCATAAAAAAAAGTTATAATAAAAATATGAAACTTAAAGTCAATAACGAGTTCGTTGTTGGTATATTGGATTGTAACAATAATCTGAGATCACCATCTAGAAACGTATTGCGCTCAATCTTCCCTGAAAAATATATTAATTTTCTGTTTTCCGTTGTCATTACAATGCAATGTGATTCCCTCAACATAAGTCGTTACGATTAGACGCATTTCTTTACTTAAACGCATTTACTGTAAATTGCATTTAATTATAATGAAGTCCAACATTGAAATAGAAACAAACCGTTATAATAAACATATTTTTCTTATTTCTACTCATAGAACATACTGGTACAATTTGATCATTTAATCAGGGAACATCCTGTGTAGAAATAATCATTGTATAGAATGCATACAAGTATATTATAAACGTATTATCACGAAATGTACCATCCATTTCAAAACCGAAAGGAATGAAATACTATTTTTGAACTTAATAAACTATTATTGACTTATTTTTAATAAGTTCATACCCATTCGTATAAAAACTAAGGCACTGAACATGGATAATGTTACAGGGCTAAATACACCAGCAAACGTTCCCAAAGTTCGACCATTGTCTGGACCCAAGCTACCAAATTCCACGTATCCATCGCCTTCCGTTTGTTGAGATCGCCCAAATTTAAAAAGTCTGCTTAGTCTATAAAGAACGCTTCTTCCATTAATCAATGGAACCTTCTCACTGCTGATCTTGATATGTATGGGATCATTATTCATTGAACCCACTTCTGATGCCATCATGTTTCTGACGTGCTAAAACAAATGATTCATTAGAAAACTCATACAATTCTTCTAATCAGTTCCTGCATTTATTTCACGTAAAAGTATAAAGGCAGTGAAACTGCGTCGTCTATTTATTACAATAAAATTTTCACAAATCCTAAATAGGATTATGTCGACAAACCGTTATAATGAAGCGACAAGTATTTGAAATTATGATTTATTTAACGAAGTACCTTGATATTAGTTTAATCAGCACTGTCACACTATCTTATATTGCTTTAATAATGTATAAAAATGTTGTTTCACATAATAAGCGTCAGCTTATGATGTCATCTTCTCCTGAAGCGCTCAGATTTCAGACCAGCTCAGGCCTCAGGCTCAGACGTCGGGCGCTCGGAACGCTCGGAACTCGGAACTCGAAACTTCGGAAGTGTCAAATCGCAATTAACTACACAATTCGAAGTTGTTGAACTCGTCGAAGGAAAGTACTATAAATCACTGACAGCTGTTTAATGCATGTCAAAAAAACAATATTCCTATCTATAGACAACCGATTTCATGATGTTCACTCTTGTAAAAAAGTTAAATGAGATATAAAAAAATGTTTATATGTGTGGAGTCATAGAATTCCGTATTATAGATGAGAGTACTTTTATTTAAGTAGCATCAGGATTAATCACTCGTCTCATATTTTTCATATTCTTATCTACTGATGAAAATGATTTATAAACTACTGCGTAAATTATTGTAACACATGATTCAATTAAAAAAGTTGGCAAATTAGAGTTAATAATCATTCTAGCGCGCCACACATAACGGCTGCCGCTGCCGCTGCCTTTACTTACGAAGTTACACGAGTTATACTCATACACCTCATACACTTCTATGGATCAGTAGTTTGTTCAGAGTGAACTAAAGTTTGTGAATTTTTAACAAATTCTAAGACTTCGACGTTTTAGAAATAATAAGCTTCTTATAGCAAATGGCTACTCTCGAAGATAAATCTCTTTGGGAGGATGGAGAGGTAAAAACGAAGACTGTTTTGCATAGGTTAAGATAGAATGACAAGCAAAATTATCGATGAAAATGAAAAATAATATATCCTACTACTTAATTCGTCTTGATTTTCATTATACATACTGTGATTTCAATATAGAATAAATTCCATTTAATCCATTTAATCCTGACTTCGTTATTTAATTTTTCTATAGGAAGCTTTAGGTGAAGATGTTTGGAGAATGTCTACAGATGAAATCGTATCCCGGACACGTTTGTTGGACAATGAAATTAAAATTATGAAGAGCGAAGTGATGCGCATCTCGCATGAACTTCAGGCACAAAATGACAAGATTAAAGAAAACACAGAAAAAATTAAAGTAAACAAAACCCTACCATATTTAGTATCGAATGTCATAGAATTGTTAGACGTAGATCCTCAAGATATGGGGGAAGAGGACGGTGCAGTTGTTGATCTGGATGCACAGAGAAAAGGAAAGTGTGCAGTTATTAAGACCTCCACGCGTCAAACATATTTTTTACCTGTGATCGGGTTGGTTGACGCAGAAGCACTGAAGCCAGGTGATTTGGTTGGTGTCAACAAAGACAGCTATCTTGTTCTTGAAACATTACCTGCTGAGTACGATGCGAGAGTCAAGGCTATGGAAGTGGATGAAAGACCTACAGAACAATATTCAGATATCGGTGGCTTAGACAAACAAATTCAGGAGCTGATAGAAGCAGTGGTGTTACCTATGACGCATAAGGAAAAGTTTGAGAACCTTGGTATCCAGCCTCCCAGAGGTGTGCTATTGTACGGGCCACCAGGGACTGGAAAAACTTTATTAGCCAGAGCTTGTGCAGCTCAGACGAAATCGACTTTCTTAAAACTAGCAGGACCACAGCTTGTTCAAATGTTTATCGGGGATGGCGCAAAATTAGTAAGAGATGCATTTTCACTTGCTAAGGAGAAAGCCCCCGCGATTATTTTCATAGACGAGTTAGATGCGATTGGAACGAAAAGATTCGATTCGGAAAAGGCTGGTGACAGGGAAGTGCAACGTACTATGTTGGAGCTATTGAACCAGTTGGATGGATTCAGCTCGACCGCTGATATTAAAGTAATAGCAGCTACGAATAGAGTAGATATTTTAGATCCAGCCTTGTTGAGATCTGGGCGTCTGGATAGGAAGATAGAATTCCCGCATCCAAACGAAGAAGCTAGAGCACGTATAATGCAAATTCATTCGCGTAAAATGAACATGTCTCCGGACGTTAATTTCGAGGAATTGTCGAGATCTACTGACGACTTCAATGGCGCTCAATGTAAAGCTGTTTGTGTAGAAGCGGTAAGATATCATAAAATTATCGTATGTTGAATTCAACAGGCATGCATTAACTCGCTACTCAGCATGAAGCAGCAAGCTTCAAAACAGTATCCGGGCGACGTAGAACCGATTACATGCTACTCTAGTGCAATACTCAAATGAAATTCCTGATAAATCCATGTGGTAAAATTGAAGTACGTTCGTAGTATTCAGTGATAAAGAAATAATTATAAATAAAAATAGATAGGAAAAGAAATGTCAAAATTAATGTAGCGTGGAAAAAGAAAGTTCACATATATTATATATATTTTTTCTGTACTTTATACATTGACTTGTATAGATTAAGGTCATGTACTGACAAAAAGAATTCGTGTATGCGCACGAAATCCTACCATTAAACTGCATTGTCAAAAATCTCATTAGCAATAAAATTTGCATTCATCTAATTCACTTTACTTATCCGAATTTTGCACTGCACCAGGGCAGTGTTTGCTCGTCGAAATTTGCTTGCTAATAGTGCAAGATACCCAAATACGACGATTGCATTGCACTGATAGAGAGAACATCAATCTAATGCGTGGCATCGAAGAAGTTTGCGCTAATGCGTGTTATGTCGAATTCATCAGTGGAATTGGGCCGCGTTTCTTACGATTAGTATCTAATGTCTCGTTTTCTTTTAGGGTATGATAGCACTGAGGCGCAATGCTACTGCAGTTACACACGAAGATTTAATGGAAGCTATTAATGAAGTCCAAGCCAAGAAGAAAGCTAATCTCAATTATTACGCCTAATATGCATTACTCACTGATTCAATTATTAAGATACGTTTTATAATAAGTCAGGACAGAGGCACCGGAGTAATTGTAAACAGAATTAAATTTAAAAACGTTTATCGTTTCTATATAATAAATAATTCAACATAAGTGTGTTACAAATTATTGCAAATTTTGTACTCTTATGTTTCGAAATAACGACTCCGGGAAGATTAGTATGGAAAATAAAGTAACATCAATTTCTTTCTAATTTTATTTCTGATAATTAACACTATTTCATTTTTTGAATAATTTACGTTTTTAAATTTATGCATTTTAGACAAAATACTGTTTCCATCATCTAGTTCTTTACAATATTTTTGAAATACAAAACAATCTTTATTTCATATAGAGTAATGGAAATAAAAATTTATCTTAATATACATTGCATTTTTTCATCGCCTTCTATGACTTCTCTTCTTGATCCTGAAGAAAAGAGAAAAAATTGTTAATAATGTTTCAACTAGTCAATGATTCTTCTGTTCATATTAATAAAATCTTACTTCTTTGGTCCTTTTACAAAACACCAATCAACGGAAATAGGTTGTCCTAAGATTTCTGTTCCATTTAAAGCTTCTTTAGCTGCTTGAGCTTCTTTAAATGTTTCATATTCTACTAAGGCATATCCTTTTAAGAAACCTGTTCTTCTGTCCAAATTCAAATGCAAGTTTTTAATTTGCCCAAATTCGGAGAACTTGTCTTGAATGTCATCCTCTTGTGCCTCCTCATGTACTGAGTTTATAAATAAAATCCATCCTTCTACAGCTGCAAAATGTATAAAAACGTATAATTATTATTTAGTAATGGCCATTAGAAAGTTTTTTTAACCACTTGCGCTGGGAAGGCGTGTCACATGTAAGATGTTTATGTAAGAAATTCGCCTAGGACTTGGTGTACTTACGCGCCTTACAGCGCAGCTAGTTACAATTAGAAATAGTGATGGCTAGACTTGTTACTTAAACAAGTAGAAATAATAAAATTATAATGATAAGGTCAGTTGAAAATATAACTCCAAGGCCTTGAATAATGTACACAGATTCCAAGGATTGCCAAAATGATTAAAGGTGGATTGATCTTATTCATCGAACGACTAAAACAAATGTGTTTACATTAGCGATAATGAGGGATTAGTTTATTGTGTGATGACCAATCCTGAAGTCTATTGAAGTCATGTTAAATACGATAATAATCAGCAGGTAATTGAGAAAAATATTTTTAGGTCATCTGCAAATAGCAAAAATTTGCAGAATACGAACATCGCCAAAATGTCAGTAATGGAGATATTAAACTAATTTAACTAAATGGAGAAGAGGTATTAAATACAAGAGGACTGAAGGATCTCAGATTTTATATGAATGGGTTTTGAATAAGTACTATTATATTTTATAACGTGGAGACCAGTTCGGTGGACGATATTCTAGAGTTGGTCTAATGAGAGAACAATAAAGTATTTTTAGGATATCGGAGTTTTGAAAAAAATTAGAGGTTCTATAAATAAGGCCGAAAGATTTATAAGAAATAATAAAATTAAAATGATCATTAAGCTAGTGTCAGTTGAAAATAAGACTCCGAGGTCTCAAATATTACACACAGTCTATAAAGGATTCCTGATCTTATTAATCAAACGATGAAAACAAATGTGTTTACCTTTGGTGACATTGAGAGATAGTCACAATTCTGAAGTCTACGTCACATTGAATATAATAATCAATGGAGAAATAATAGAGAGAAATATTTTTAGATCATTTTAAGGCACAGATCTGTGAATTTTCTGCTAATGTAAGTTAATAAAAGTATAAATATATATAAATTTTTCTTACATCTTTGTGGGCCTGGTTCATCGTCATCTTCCTCGACGACGTTCATGGACTCGTAATGACCAACATCATCGCGAGTAGAAACTAATTCTGCACCATGTCCTCTACCTTTCCTTCTCTTCGCTTTTTCTTTTAGACGTGCGATACCTTCTACAAAACACGATTGGAAATATATAAATAAAATTAGAATAACACTATAAAAATTGTATATTCGAATCAAATCCAAACAAAGTCAGAATACGAAGAGGTTATGGCAAATGACGCTTAACATATAATTACGAACATTAGCCAGAAGCAAAATGATTGTTACTTACGATCGCCTTCATCGTCAACTTCGAACTCTTCTGCGTTATCAATGTCTAATACATCTGCCATAGTTGAATTATTATGTTTCTTCGTTCAGTCTTAATCAACAGGCTCGTGCGTTCACACTCAACTTGACGAAGCACGAGTTGCACGACTTGCACAATCTGCACAATTACTGCGACTGCGGCATGAACAGGCACGAACACAAACACACAAACGCACAACCGGACCATTGGCCACTGATGGATGAACAATGAGCAGAGTGGGATTTTTTAAGCATGCGCACTACGATACGAGTTATCAGTAGCGTCCTAGTAACGTACTTATTTTTTTCAATTTAAAGGTACCATTAGATCCCAAGTGCGAAGCAAGGCTTGGACTCCAAGAAACCTTTTTAAGAATAATCTTGAAAATAAAATATTACGCTATCTGACTGCATATCATTAGAAATAATCATTTGTCAGTTTAAATTTGGACGTACAAACAATCTTTTTCTATTTTATTTATTATTTGCAGTTTATTAATTTTTCACTCTACTTTTTACTTGATCAAGTACTTTTTAAAATAATTTCCAAAACTCTCTAACTCTATATGTGAGGCTCTTGGTCGTTAAGTAGCGTAAATCGAATGAATTCATTATAAAAACAGCAACTTTTTGTTATCAAATCAATGCCTTTATTTATACTGGCAAAAAATATTAATGAGATATGTATGTGAATGATATTGTAAATAAAGTAATTGTGACAATATGTGGAAAAGTAACTCATGATCGGGTTGTAAACTCACTTCGCTATTTTACAAAATATGTTAATTTATGCTAATATATTATTTTCGATTGAAGGAAACTAATACAAGTGAGGCTACATTTGATTAGAATTTATTTTAAAATCCAACACCCGAACTTTCAGAAAACTTCACTTGGCAATCGGGTTCATACAGAAGAAAAGAGAAGACGTAGAATCGAATGGTGTAAACCTATATTTTTGGCCAATTTAATGGGGAATATGAAAATTTCGCCTTATCGCGCTAATATCAGAGTCTACCCCTTAATAAAGTTCTGATAACATCGATACTAGTCACGTTTCAAATGTTTTGCAAAATCGATCTTTGCATATGGCGTATAAAGAACATCGCTGCCAAATTTCAATTCATAATGGCCAAATTAACAGATCATGTAACAATAATGATTCCACCTAAAGAAACCATAAAAAATCTAACTCAAGAAGTAAAATGACGCTGTCGCAAATACAGAAACTAATGTAAGAATTATACATAATATATATAACTTATAACAATATACTTTCGTGGCAATATGTCTAAATTAAACATTTTTAGTCACATAAAATGGCAACTGGACCCATAACTGATAATAATCCGAAGGCTTTATTAAGAAGCGTTGATGATCCACCCGATGAGACTAAAAGAAAATTAACTGTTCTCGAGTCACACGGATACATTCTTGGTAAAACTGTAGGTGCCGGTTCATATGCTACTGTAAAAGTATGTTATACACCCAAGTCATACCCGTTTAACATTAGGAATATCAATCATTAATGATTAAAAACAATTGTAACAAAAGATTGCAAAATCTGATCGACATGATTGTCAAGTAGCGGTGAAAATCGTTTCCAAGTTTCAAGCACCGGGGGATTATTTAAAAAAATTTCTACCCCGTGAAATCGAAGTTGTTAAAGGTCTGAAACATCCAAACTTAATTCGTTTTCTTCAGGCAATCGAAACAACTCACCGGTTAGTTAATTAATCTATTATAATATTTAAAGAATGTAATTAAATATGCAAGTAGAAAAATGTTAAATTATTAGAGTTTATATCATCATGGAATATGCTCAAAATGGGAGTTTACTAGACATGATAAGACGCGATACGTACATTGATGAAATTCGTAGCCGTCGATGGTTCCGACAACTTTTAGAAGCTATCGACTATTGCCATGCACGCGGTGTAGTACACAGGTAAATTATGAAAATACCCGCTGAGCACCATTTTATTTAACTGAACAATCCGATTTAAGAGACGTGAAATGCGAGAACCTTTTGATGGATCAGAATCACAACATCAAATTGTCCGACTTCGGATTCGCGCGCGGGCAAATGAAACCGAAGAACGGTATAGCTCCCTTAAGCGAAACTTTCTGCGGAAGTTACGCATATGCATCTCCAGAGATATTGAAAGGAATCCCGTATTTACCTCATTTATCTGATGTCTGGTCGATGGGAGTAGTACTCTACGCGATGGTTTATGGACGTTTACCATTCGATGATACAAATTACAGTCAACTTCTAAAGGTACCCAGGTACATTAAAAAAAAAAGTAATAGGGCTTCTTAACATTAATATTCGAACAATTACTTTACTACTGTTTTATCTTTTTGGCGATGCAGCAAGTACAAAATAAAGTTACATTTCCTAAAGAACCAAGCGTGTCTCTAGCTTGTCGTACCCTTATTTCACGAATCCTAGTACCGCAACGAGTACGAATAACCATTGATAATATGAGAAATGACGCTTGGCTCGCCTCGTCTCTTGTTACAGCTCAAACATCTACCACTGATACTTTGGTAATACTCAAATTTATTTTATCCAGTATCTCACTGATTATTACATCTTGATGATTTTATAGAGCGTTCCTGCAGTGCCGAACATAAAACAAACAGCGCTTGAAAAGAATAAAGGGACGAACAAGCACACGACTAATCATAGAACTCAAATAGTCGAGGTTCGCTCCTCTGATTTGAACATGCCGGAAAATAATAATAATAATAATAATAAGTATCGATATTTGAGATAGATTTTTAAACAATGTTTTTTAAACTTCTACATCTGGTTTGATATAAAAATTACCACAATGCTATGGCACTTTTACTTTGTATTTCCTCTTTAGTTTTCTCCATACTTACAAATAGTGTTACTCTTTTACAAAGTTCAATTAGACAATACAGTTATATTAAGCTATGACCTAAACAACATCTGTTAGCAAACAGGACCTGCCCAAATGCATCGAAACGAATACAATACGTGGCATTGTACTCGTTCAGTCATAACATAGAATGATACTTGGCAATCATAATCAAAAGTATTGTGCTTATCACAAAAATGCCAGGGGCAGTTACTTTATGGATACTCCTTGTGTTATCTGCAAAAAAATTATACTGTATTTCGGATTAATTAATTGAACGACAGTTCTAATTTCAAACGTACCATTGGTGTCGGTTACTGGTTCCCAACCCAAACTCCGATTAACAGCCATTTTCCATTGTGAATACAATATATCTCGTTCTGAAATAAAACATTTTTTCAAACATTATTTATGCATCAAATGAGGTGCGCGATTACTCACAAACTTTTCCTATTATCCACTACGTGATTCTTATTGAGTTTCTCATGTCAAGAACGGACACAAGTATGTCACGTACCATTTCCGAAAAATAGTGGTTTTTGTAAAAATGGATGATTTTCGAGGAAAACGAGGTCTCACATGTTTCTACACATGATTTCTTTATCAGAAATGTCTACAGAATATAATAAAATTTTCAGTTTATAATAATACCATATAGATAATCGAAAAGTGCTGTTTAAATTTTGAGTACAAGCCCGGATAAAAAATTTGAAAAATGCGACCTTCACCTTTTTCCTTACGACTTCTAAAAATCTTAATTTTTTCGCAATCTTTTGTATACATAATTTAGTAAACTAATTCACCTAACTACTGAAAAAAATTAGAGCGTTTGGTCCGATTTCAAAAGATATATTCAATTTTAAATAATATTGTATCATAGAAAGTCTGCTAAAATGTTGCGTTCTTATTTTTCATCTAATACTTAATTTTCCCTGAAATTATGCATTTATACAAAAACCGTTATTTTTCGAAAACATTACGTGATACAGCGTTTCCGCTTCCGAATTCATTTTTGGCATGAGAAATCCTATAAGAATCATGTCGTGGATATTGCAAAATAATTTTTATACTATTAAAATGATATTCCAACAATTTACCATCTTCACTTATTGAAGGTAGAAATGTGTCATTTGGCACAGCAACTTCTACTTTTACATCCCATTTACGTATACCATCTGCGGTTCCTGCAGCTATCGCAACTCCGAGAGCAGTAGTTTCACACATCAACGGCCTCACTTACTTGTAAAATTATTCAGTTAAACAAACCATATCCCTCATACTTATATTTAGTTTTGAGAATAAGATACATTATTCAAGAAATATTTCACTTACCAACTGGTATTCCGCAAATATCTGCTTGCATTTGCATCAATAAATTATTGTTAGTCATTGTACCGTCTACTAGTAATTTAGATAAAGTTAAACCAGTGTCCGCTTTCATGGCTTCTAATATGTCTCTTGTCTGAAAACAAACTGCTTGCAAAGCTGCTTTTATAATATGTGTACTATTAGTGTCTTCTGTAATTCCACATATAACGCTGAAATATTAATACTTTGCAAGGGATATGTAGCAGTACAATTTGTCAAAGTTTCTTATATTATATTATCCTGTACTCATAATGCTACGTTATTGTGTTAGTTACCTTTTTGCATCCTTCCTCCAGTATGGAGCATATAAACCAGCAAATGCAGGCACAAACGTAACACGATTATCGTTAGGTATTTGCTCCACGAGAGATTCAGACTCTTTTATATCGGATAATAAGCCGAGTTTATCTTTTAACCATTGAATAACAGCTCCAGCTATTGCTACTGAACCTTCAAGAGCATATATTGGCGGCGCCTCTGGCCCTAACTGATAAGCAACCGTTGTCAGCAATCCATGAGACGAATCTACAATCTTCAACATTATTTATCAATAACTAATTTATAAGAAGCAATCTGTTGTTAGGCAGAATATTTCTTACAGCAGTTCCAGTATTGTATAAAAGGAAACAACCTGTGCCGTAACTATTTTTCGCTTGTCCTCTTTGCAAACACATTTGACCAATTAATGCTGATTGTTGATCACCCAGACACTGTAGGAATTAACAATTATTTATAGACTGTAAAATAGAATTATTGTTTGAAATTTCTTTATAGAAGATACGAACTCCAGATATTGGTACTCCAGACAATACTTCATCTTGTATATAACCGTAAATTTCTGACGAACTTCGAATCTCGGGTAAAATCTCAGGTGGTATATTAAAAAATGATAACAGTGTTGGATCCCATTTTAGAGTTGCGATATTCATTAACATTGTTCTTGAAGCATTTGTGACATCAGTGGCGTGAACACCAAAATTTGTTCCTCCAGTTAAATTCTGTAAAAAGAAGATTATTCTATTTTCCCTGTATACACTTCGTTACATGATTATTATCAAACTGACCCAAATCAACCAAGAGTCAATGGTTCCAAACATACACCGTTTCTTATCTAATGCCTCGCGAACTCGAGGTACATTCTCCAATAGCCATTTTAATTTTAAAGCACTAAAATATGGACTGATTGGTAAGCCACAGAGAGGCTTCAAATAATCTTTATTTTTATTACGAATTTTCTTAAGTATTTCGTCTACAGTTGCAGTGGTTCTCATATCCATCCATCCTAAAAATGAGGATATGTATTAATATTTGAATTACAGATGAATTAAAATTTGCATATTGATACTAGCATCCTACGTCGAGGGTTCGTTCGCGTATTTAAATATTTGTTTGAACAATTATTTGTCTAAACAAATGCCTTTATAGGTAAATATACCTATCAAGTCGATCAAGCATGAGAATGTATGTGCAAAATTTCTACTCAAACAATGCAGTAGTTTTTGGGTGATTGAGCAACAAATATCCATCCAAACTGTCGCATGTGTACAATATATCTTACTATTATACAAAGAGAAGGAATTTGTTAGCCAAAATTTAAGAACGAGACTGAAACATCTACCATAAGGGTGTAACTTTCTTACCTAGCTCTCGTAAGTGTTTTCAGCGCTCATACGCTCAGAAGAAATAGAGCTATATTTTCATTATTTATAACAATATTTTTTGTTTTAAAAATATATAGTAGCTCACGAAAGGAATTCGAACTCCTTATGATACTCCGAATTATATAAGAAAGCCATAATCTAAACTTTGATCCACAGACTTTAGCCATTTTTTAGATTTTGCTAACATGCAAACACTCTCTTTGTATAATAAGTAGACAGCGGATGTTTATGCAAAATAAAGCATTTACAGTACTAGTTTAAGAGATGTGTTTCAGATGAACAATTACTTTATCATTAAAGTATTGAAATGTGCATTCAGCTTTTGGTATTCTGTATAGTCTTGCATATTATCCATACTGTTCATAATTTTTGCACATTCAATTTTCTTATAAATGCTTAAAATCCGCTACCTAATAACAAGATAACAATTTGTATCAATGATTACCTATAGCATTATATAATGGTTCTCCAGTAATAGAGTCCCATACGACTGTAGTTTCTCTTTGGTTTGTTATTCCGACTGCAACTATATCACTAGGATCTATGGTAAGCTGCCTTAAATTAAAAACTGTTTGGTGAAGACATTCCCTGACTGCCTTTAATATTTCTAAAGGATCTTGTTCAACCCATCCTTCTTTTGGGCACGACTGTGATATTGAGACTTGATGATATGTTAATACTTCAGCTGTATCTGCAGCAAAAACCTAAAATAAAGATGCGCACATAATCAATAAATAAAGTAATCTGATCAATTATTGAATTTTTTATTAGGGCTTTATAAGGACAAGACTAATTGTGCTAATCAATCCTGTAACATCATTGGTTGATGTATTAGTACTATTAGCTCATGGAATTGTGTAATAAGTTGATTCAATTAGTCTACATTTTCGACCAAATTACTTGAGAGGCAATAATGATTTATTAATGTGAATAACGTGTAAATAGGTACCAAAAATCTGGCATTATTTGTCCCTTCATCGATTGCGCCGATGAGGGGTCCGTATCTACTTGTCGAATCATTTTTATTCATCTCATAGAAGAATTGCTCGTGCACTTGTCAGTAATCACGCGGTTTTGTTTATCTACACTCAGCCGGCGTTTCGAAAACTCCGGCGTTACAATCATGAATGCAGCATTAACAGCGAAGTGTTTTAGGCGGACATGGTACTAAAAGGTTAGGTAACTACGGTAATCATTCACATTCAGTAAAAATAATCGCCCTCAACCACTCGCACGTTGCTGCCAGCACTTCATCGATCGCTTTTCTCGGTGATGAGTAACAATTCCCATGCACCAATGTCAGTCACGGACTGAATACCGGTTGCCATTTATGGATGATATATATATACATATAAAAAAAAAGAAAAAAATGAGATTCACATGAGACCTTTTAATTGGTTCATGAAAACATTTTT